TTATATTACATCATTTCAGGGGTAGCTTATTCTGACTAATATCCCCGATCAAATAATGCTCCCACTACAGAATCATTTTATATTGCACCACTACTCACTCCATGTGTACTGTAAGGAGATGGGGAGCATGTTGAAATACTATATTATGCCATCTTTATTTAAGATATCGGGGTAGCGTATTCTGATAAGACTAATAATGAATAATTATTTTAATATTGCTGATGATCATCCGCTGTCTCGACGGCATGCCCAACAGCAAGGTTGCACAGATTTATGGGCGTGGAAACAGACCGCGCTTGTAGGTCATGCGCATTCGCAGAACCGCTAAGTAGCAAATCTCATTGGTAGCATAAGTCGACAGAACACCAGCGCCGGATAATGAGAGGCAGGTCGCAGTGATGTTGTGCTAAGTTATAGTTTTAACACAGTAACTTTAGTCCTGCTAGTGTTTATTGCTAACAGCTGATGAGAGTTGTTCTGGGTCCACTTCAGAGCCCTGACAGGGTTCTACCTGGAGCGAATTACCTCTGATGTCGTCTCCTCTCCAAAACAAACAGATCCGGTCATTAAAAACAGTTGTAAACAGCTGTAAACAACTAACAGCTGATCCAGGTCCGCCAGAGAACGCAACGAAACTTTTAATTTTTATTTACCAACAGAGCCGTGCTGTTGTTTCACCGCTCGTGACTGGTGAACAACCTGCAGTGTTTGAGAGCGATGTGCTCATGTGTGTTTCTCTGTCTGCAGAATCCGGACCTGATGTGGCCCATTCTGCGTCCAGACCTGCCAAACTGCTGCGTTTATATGTGTTTATTTCTTTGTTCCTCTCTCTGTGCTGGAGTTCTTTAAGAACTTGGTGGCTTGATCCAGATTATTATTAAATTGGTTCAATTTTAATTAGAGTGTGTTTATTCATATAGTGTATCAAGCTTATTACTTCAATATATTACCGCGGTGAAGTTAGTTTTAAGTTGGATATTCGACAGACATTCACCCAGGATCCAGTGACGGCTTTTTAGTCAGTTCACCCAGTGACGGTTGTATAAGTGCGGTTAGCTCACCTCTGATGGCTCGCTTTTAACCAACGGGGGTTAGCTTAGGGACCATCAATAAATTCAAATTGTGAAAACAGTGTTATGGGAAAATCATTATTTATTTCAATAGCTTCCAAGTCATGTGACGCAGGGACTTCAAACCAATGCCGAATTGTAGTACTACACTGGGCAAATGAGACACACCTTCATATTTGATTTGAGTGCATTTTTTATTTTATTTGAATATTTATTCATAATTTATTGAAAAAAGTGCTGTTTTTTCAATAGCTTCCAAGTCATGTGACGCAGGGACTTCAAACCAATGCCGAATTGTAGTACTACACTGGGCAAATGAGACACACCTTCATATTTGATTTGAGTGCATTTATTTTATATGAATATTTATTTATATTTTTTAAAATTTTCAATAGATTCCATTTCAAATGATTCAGGGACTCAAAACCAATGCCGAATTGTACTACTACCCATTACACATATTACACACCTCTTGTACAACTGCAGTTGTACCACACAGAGTCAGTCATTTTCTTCCACAGCATTGAGCAGATTTCAAAGAAACTCAGTTTACACAACAGACATTCCCAGTTTCCTTTCTTTGCCTCTTCATATTGTGTGCTGTCCATTTCCACACACTGAGCATGGAACCACCGTTCACAGCCATCACACTGGACCTGTGAAATTGAAAAAAATCTTTCGTAACATATTTATATATATATTTATTTCAATGTCTGTTGCTTAGAGGTAGAGCGGTTGTCCACTACTTTAAGATATATGCCCCCTCTGTATTTGCTCAGAAGGCTGTGCCATTGTTGTGTGAGTGTGTGTGAACGAGTATTAGTTTCTTTCTCATCAGCAGTTGGAACCTAGCATGTATTTCTCTGCGTCACATGACTTGGAAGCTATTGAAAAAAACAGCACTTTTTTCAATAAATTATGAATAAATATTAATATAAAATATAAAGTTTACTCAAATCAAATATGAAGCAGTGTGTCTCATTTGCCCAGTGTAGTACTACAATTCGGCATCGGTTTGAAGTCTCTGCGTCACATGACTTGGAAGTTATTGAAAAAACCAGCACTTTTTCAATAAATTATGAATAAATATTCATATAAAATAAAAGATGCACTCAAATCAAATATGAAGGGGTGTGTCTCATTTGCCCAGTGTAGTACTACAATTCAGCATCGGTTTGAAGTCTCTGCGTCACATGACTTGGAAGTTATTGAAAAAAAACAGCACTTTTTTCAATAAATTATGAATAAATATTCATATAAAATAAAATATGCACTCAAATCAAATATGAAGGGGTGTGTCTCATTTTTCTAGTGTAGTACTACAATTCGGCATTGGTCTGGAGTCCCTGTGTCACATGACTTGGAAGGTATTGAAAAAAAAGGCATTATTTTCAATAAATTATGAATAAATATTAATATAAAATATAAAGTTTACTCAAATCAAATATGAAGTGGTGTGTCTCATTTTCCCAGTGTAGTACTACAATTCGGCATCGGTTTGAAGTCTCTGCGTCACATGACTTGGAAGCTATTGAAATAAATAATGATTTTCCCATAACACTGTTTTCACAATTTGAATTTATTGATGGTCCCTAAGCTAACCCCCGTTGGTTAAAAGCGAGCCATCAGAGGTGAGCTAACCGTCACTGGGTGAACTGACTAAAAGCCGTCACTGGATCCTGGGTGAATGTCTGTCGAATATCCAACTTAAAACTAACTTCACCGCGGTCAATATATTTACGATATTAATATTTTACTCATGAATAGGGACGTTAGGCTGCTCTATGAATGAGAACTTTAGAGATAATGATAGTAATTATATACATAAGCCTTTATATGGCTGGTCTGGTTGTATACTCGGGAAAGATTGTAACAATGGAAGGATTTAGCCTGAGTAGTGGTGATTACATATTGACAACATATTTCTGTGGTTTTTACATGATTTAAATTTGGTTGCGGGCCCAGGGGGGTTTATATAATGATGATATACAGTAATCAAGAGGTGAATTTGTGCATTATACTTTGTCAAATAAAGCAAGCCAGGCAGCCTTCCGCGTTTGAGAACGGCGCTGTTTTTTAATCGCCCACTAGAGGGCTGCAGCGCCGCAATAACCAGCCTAGTTCAAATGAACGAAATGACTCAAAAAAAGATTAGTTCATTTTAATGAACGAGTCTGTCAAAAGACTCGAACTTGCCATCAATATGTTGTGTGCGCGCCGCGGTCGGTCCGGGCGCTGCTCTTCCGCGGGTTACGTTTCTTGCCTTCCGTTGGCGTTGCGTTGTCAACTGGCATTTGGATGGTCGTTTTTATTTTATTTCTTTAATTTAATTATTAATTTATTTATTTTGGGGGGCGTCTGTTGGTTGCGTCGGGGTCTTCCGCGTTTGCATCGCAGTGCATCTGGGAGTCTTATTTTTTTGATTTATTTTTATTTTTATTTTTTCTTTCTCCCACCCCTATTGGCTACTGGGTTCTTGCCTGCCTGTTGCTGGGGTAGGTGTGGCACAGTCGTGGCATCCCACTCTCACTAACAACTACATTCTTTAACAGACTTATGCGCACACAGGTACACACACACACATACAGACACATTCACCCACACAGACACACACAGTCTCACACATAGAAACAAACTAATTTAGGTTGTCCCTGGTAGAATTATTCTTGATGCTTTTCTTTCAGTTACTTATTTAAATTAATTGTTATTATTCCAGCTCTTATGGCTGTGTTGTGTTGCTTATTTAGTATGCCTGACTGTTTTCATTTTCTCTTAGTTGTCTTACTATGTCAGCTGTTTATTGATGCTGTTCTGCTTGTTGTCTTTTACTATTTTATATTATTATTATTATTACTATTATTTTAATTGTTTGTTTGTTTGTTTGTTGTTTTTCTCCTCCCCAAGCCCCCCTCTCTGTTCTATTGCTGGTTTTGTTGCTTTCTGCAATTGGTGATTCCCTCTGCTATTCCCTGTTGTCCCCACCTTCCATCCCCCTTCTCTTACAGGTGTTGTCCTTTCTCTGTGCTGTCTGTTTGTGCCCCCCCATCCCTGTGTCTGCCCACCTGTCCGGCCCGGTGACAAATCAATACATAATTAAATAAATAATAAAACAGACAAAGGAGTATATTAATACTCTCTTGTTAAAGTAAAGTAAAGTAGTAATCTGTCTGGCACAATATGGTATCCAGGTCATCATACTCTATACCAGGCTGCTGGGCAGGACAGGTTTTTAAAAATAAGAAAAAAAGAAAGAAGCAGCACTTGAGATATTGCATTCACAAGAACGGGATGGGCTGACAACCCGAAAACACAATGCCTCCGACCAGAGGCACAGAGGCATAAACGTTAGATGCAGTATTTATCTCAGGATGTGGAATGTTATAGTGGGTTTGCTGCACTCCCCTGACTGCACACGCTTGAAGGCAGCAAGAGGAGGAAGGACTGAATTTTAATTACATTCTTCTTAGAAATAAGACAATATTGAATCCAGCACTTAATTAAATCCTTCCCAGTTAAACGTTCTATCAGTGCAGAGGCCCAATTAAAAATCTAACCCTAACCTAATCCTATCTAGGCTGACATGTACCTTCAGCTGCAAACAGTGCATTAATATGTTAACTTACTGTGGGGGTTGGCTCCAACAGGCAGTATCATCCATCTGTGACATTTAACTGCTGTAAAATTGTATTTTATTTAAACAGGTGATATTGTGAAGAAATAATTAGGGTTTGGTGTGGAAGTTGTTCCGGTTTATTAGAAGACACTAATGACTTATTTGGAAATGGTCCTGAATAAATTAAAAAAATTTGATCCGATAGAAAGCGATAGAGATCTGACTTCCTGCACAAGACAACATTTACTGTAAATTAGGAGGCTAATGGTGCTGCATATCTGTAGAGATCAAAACACATGATCTTGTATCTTGTATGAAAATGTATCCATTAAATCAATGTGTTCAATGTTTTTTTTATAGGAATAGATTTTTAAAAAATCTTTTTGTGCGGGTTGTGAAATGACCCATTAAATATATCTAAAGTGCGGTCACTGAACACTGCACCCAACTTGACATTTAAAAGATAGTATGCATTTGCAGTTTTTTGTGTATTAATGGCAAATGTCAGGAGAAATAAAGGACTTTGAGATTAAGGTAGTTTTGATGAAAAGTTCTTATGACACTTTCATTGGTTATTAGAGTAAGCAAATGAAAAGGATTGAGCTGTTTAAGTGGATTTAAAAAAAAGAATGAATTTATTTTCCCCAATAGCTTGATAACTTTTTTATGTATTAGTCATGAATGTAGTCATGTAAATGCTTTAAAAAGTTATTTAAAGAATGGAGTGTATGATGAGCATATAGATTTATGACACATGATGCCCTCTCAATATTCATCAATCCACCTTTTTCTCTTCTGAGGCAGATTCTGACGCCACAGCTCAGTTTATCAGCCAATATCGATACTCTCTTTCCCCCAAATTTAAGTTTTACCTCACTGTGTGGAACTCATTGGAATCATTTTTATGATTCCAAGGTAAGATGTTGTGGTGCTAAAAACTATTTCGACATTATTCATCTTCACTGACATCCACCACAAGAGCACCGGGGTGTTTTCTGCACACAAAGAAGGACCAGCGAGTGTCTCACATATAGATACACTTTACTTACACATTCAAATATATATATTTTTTACATTTCTGGATAGAATAATTCAGAAACATTCAAAATAAGGTAAGCCTATCTCTTCTTTCTTTGTGCACAAGAGAAATGTCCTTTACTCTTTTATCATAATTGGCCGAAGTTTTCTCACATGTCTCTCCTTTTGAATCATGCAGATCCAACTTTCCTGACAGCTGCAAGGCGAGAAATGGAGTAGCCTAATTAACATAGATGCAAATTACAATCAAAATTGATTTAATAACCCTGTCCTTGTGGCACTTTAGTCTAATTGCTGTTTTGGGGCAGCTCTCTGTCATTGTACATAACAACCCCCGGAGGATAAAACACCACAGCGGGCTCCTCGGGCGCACTGACGGGGACCAAGACGTGCCCTTGCTCGTTCATCTCCTGCTTTGTGGTGGCTGTGATCGGCCTTATTGTCGGCGAAGTCATCCGCCAGAAGAGTTTTTTCAGCGCTTTCCTGAACTCTCTCCTCATCAGGCAGTACAGGATGGGGTTCAGGCAGCTATTGGAGTGCGCCAGGCACACGGACACGGGGAAGACGTACACCTGCGTGGTGTAGTACTCATAACTGAAATGAACCACGTTCAGTTTGATGAGAATGCCCCAGGCTGTCAGCGCCTGGTTGGGCAGCCAGCAGAGGAAAAAGGATAACACCACGATGGTGACAGACTTGGTGACTTTGGCGCGTCGTTTGGCGCTCGATGTGTTGATGTTTTTGGAGGTGATGAAGCGCAAAAGGAGCAGGTAGCAGGCTGAGATTATGCCCAGCGGCACCACGAAACCCAGCAGCACTTTCTGAGAATGGTAAAGTCCCAGCCAGAACTGCGCGGTTCCGTTGGTTTCCGGGAATTTGACAAGGCACAGGTCCTCATTGGAAACCATGACGGTTGTGGAGAAAACTGCGTGCGGCAGAGCTGCGGAGACAGCGGCGAACCAGATGAAGACGGTGATGCAGCGCGCGGAGCAGCAGTGTGGCCGCCGCCGCCTGCCCTTGAGCGCAGAGGCGAGCGACCAGTACCTGGCCACGCTCATGGCAGTCAGGAAAAACACGCTGGCATACATGTTCATAGCTGTCACATAGGAAACTATCTTGCACATTGCTTTGCCGAAAGGCCACGTAAAGTCCAGCGCGTTTTCCACTGCCCAGAACGGCAGAGTCAGGACGAACTGGAAGTCAGTCACAGCCAAACTAGTTACGAAAAGGTTGATGGAAGATTTTTTCCACACATGTTTCGACTTCATTAGGTACAGGACTAGTAAGTTCCCAACCAGACCCAGCGCGCAAACCAGCGAGTAGATGACAGAGATGATAATCCTCACTACAGCGGCACCATCTCCCACAAAATATGTTCTTTCCAATTCTGACAGGTGGAAGTAGTCGCAGTACGAGCTGTTGGTCGTGTTGAAAATGCAGCTTAAGTTGACACTTGCAGCATAGACTATCCCTGCTGAGCCTTCGTAATTAGTGTCAGCAAATTCTCCAGACATTTTAACTTTAATTCCCGAGGATGTTTACAAAAGTCATGCCTATAAATCCAAAGGCTCCTGGGGAAAATCCTTAGATTTTATGTTCTTGCCTAGCTATATTACGTAAATGACAGCCTACTTAAATAGCCTTGAAAAGCTGTCTGTGTTTTCTGTGAATCCAAATAAACACAAAATAACTGAAATGTTGCTGTGCATTCCTTACAGGTGAAGAGCTCCTTACAAGGCTGTCGTGTTGTCCCAAGATTTTCTCTGTGCGTCTCTCACCTCTCCAAACGTCAGAGCGTCATGGCGCGTCAGGGCGCAATCTGGCGCTGTCCTTGGTTCTGATTAAAGACCTATGTGGGAGGGGGGATCCTGCTAGAGTGGCCCAGTGTGCGTGATTATCTAAGGTTTCACGCTATGTAGTGCCATATAGGGTGCACTATCCCAGAAAAGCTCAGGAACAGATGTGGGGGTAGGCAGGCTCTCAGATCTTTTGCTGCTAATTATTGAGGAGATCATCCCGGTTGACCCAAACCAGGTCATTGATATTTACAAACACATGGCCAAAATAATAATATTCTGGTCCCACCACCCTGACTAAGCTCTTCTATATAGGCCACAGCTTATTCTCTTTAACATCACGTGTGTGTGTGTGTGTGTTTAAATGTTTAAGTGCATAGCTCCCCATGTGTTTTATATTAATCTTAACTAGGGTTTGGAACTGTTTTAGCAAAAATGCTTTGCATGATTTTCTGTCTAGACTGTATCAAAACTATTGAAACTGTGTGTATTTCATTTGTTTTACATGTAATCCAAGTGTTGTTGAATTGATTGTGTAAATACATTTTACTGGGCATGTTGCTTTACTCAGTGGATCAGATCAATAACTCATAAGCGAAACATTGTGAAAAGACAAACGTCTCTTTCCTTCCAGCTACAACCCAATTTTAACCAAAACGAGCCACCCGAGCTGGACAAATAACATTTCTATTTATCTACAGCCGAAAAGAGATACTACAAAAATATTCAATAACTCCTCTGTTATGAAGTGTAGTGTCCCCAAAATCACATCAATCAGTGTTCTCGATGGTGAGGGTATGTGGTGATTTTGCATTAATCAATGAATCATTCGCTTTAAAAATAATACAACAAACATAGCCTAAGTAGCGAGGAGACAGTTAAATGGAAGTAGACCAGCTAATGATACAGGAATGAGGCAGGTGCTGTTGTGTACTGTTTGCGTCTTTTACTGTATAAATGTGTGGCATGTCTCTGATTGAGATTGGAATACGTGTGAACCATCTGTAAATAGAGCAATATCGCCCCCTCCTGATTATGTCCAGTCAATCAAAAGTAGTGGGCATGTGGATGACTAAGGCCCATAAAATCCATGTGTTTTGCAGAGACTGGCTCCATTCCTTTACTGTTTGGGGTCCTGCAGACTGCTATATGAGTAAAAATGCTCATAATTGTTTTAAAATCTAGTTAGGCCATTTAGTTATATATTTTCTTCTCACCTTATTACAGTACAACCCAATAAGTTTCTTTGAAGTGGTCTACCCTTCAGTTACAGGTTTGTTGGGGGTGACAAAATGCAGAATTCCCTTAAAGCATTGTTATTACAACAAATAAGGAAATATTTCATGTTTAATATGTTATAAGGGCTATGCATGGACAGATATTTATTTATTTTCTTGTTTTTTTGCCAAATAGTAATTCACGGACAAATTCACAGTATGTTAACCTACATGGTGATCATGGTCATTTAGTCTGATAAGTCCCAATAGACTTATTGGGGATTTGGGAGTGCTGCTTAAAACCTAAGTAGATAAAGAGCATGTGATACATGCAACACAATATCCAGAAGAAAATACAAGCAGAGAAAGTAGCATTGGTACAGAATTAATAATGGTACTGATAATTATAGTAATATTAATAATATTAATAATAGAACTAGTAATATTGTAGTAGCAGATATTGTGTAGGAACTGGAGGGCAGCAGATGACTTGCAGCCCCAGATCCAGACTCCAGGAACACCTGCAGAAAGTGATAGGAGGAAAGGAGAGGAAGAGAGACAACACGTGGGAGAGGGAAAAGTCAAAATAGTAACATGCATTAATTGGATAAGGTTGCACACAGAAGGAAAGAGAGAGGAGCTCAGTGCATGATCGGAAGCACCCCTGCAGTCTAGGCCTTAAGTAGGATGGTTCAGAACTCACCTGAGCCAGCCCTAACTATGACCTTTGTCAATGAGGAAAGTCTTAAGCCTACTCTTAAATGTGGAGATGGTGTCTGCCTCCTGACCCAAATGGGACCTGATTCCACAGGAGAGGAGCTTGATAGCTGAACGCTCTGGCTCCAAGTCTACTTTTGGAGACTCTAGGAATCACAAATAACCCTGCATTCTGGGAGCGCAGTGATGTGGTGGGGCAATAAGGTAGTATGAGCTTTTTAGGATAAGATGGTACCTGACCATAAGAGCTTTGTTGGTGGCAGAAGGATTGTAAACTCTATTCTGGATTTTACAGGAAGCCAATGCAGAGATGCTAATACAGGAGAAAGATGATCTCTTTTCCTGGTTCTTGTCAGAACACGTGCTGCAGCATTCTGAAACAGATGAAGAGCCTTAAGGGACTTATTCAAGCAGCCTGATATGATAGAATTGCAGTAAT